CCTTAGAGGGGACAGATGACAGGCTGGGGAGGCTGGGTCCTAACCACACTCTGGGGACTCTGGGCCCACAGGGACACATGCACCCCTTCTGCAGCTCCAGAGAGAGTCTTGTCCCCTTTCTTGTCCTCTTTGCCCATTTGTCTTCTCACGACAGCTCCAAGCTGGCACTGGGGACCAGGATGACAGAACCCAGTCTGGCCCCTGCCCCTGGCTCTCCTGGCTGGGCTGGGGGAGTCAGGAAGCTTCTGGGTATGTTCCTGAGGAGGAAGGTGGGACAGCAGGGCGGGCGCATGGCTCCCACTGGGCTCTTTGAGAGGCTTCCACAGGCCCCGCCCTGGTGCTCGTGGTGCTGTCACCCTGTGCTCTGGCCACACGTGCAGCAGCTGCCTCTGTGCCACGGGGCTGTGCCACGTGAGCACCCGGGGCAGGCATGGGGTCTTCCTCTCCTTAGGGACACAGCAAGCAGCAGCAGGGATGAGATGCCCCTGTGCCCAAGCCTTCCAGCCACTACTGCCCTCCCTTTCACAGACAGTGACACAAAGGAGGCTCAGAGACATCCAGACGCTTGTCTACTTGTTCTGCTGGCACTTTGATCCATTAACCCAGGTCCAGGACCCAGACTCCTGCCCCTCAATAATAGCAAAGAATAATAAGAATAGTTATGACCATTTGCCAGTCACTTATGTGCCGGGCTGTCCATCTATCCTCTGGTTTTATCATTACTTATGTTCCCAAAGGTAGGTATTGTTAGAACCCACATCTTACAGATGAGGAGACTGAGGGTCAGAGTGTTTGAACAACTTGCCCAAGGTCACAGATCTAGTATCAAGGAGCCTAGAAATAATGCAGACCTGTGTGGTGTCCATAACAGGAACACAGTTGACAGATGGATGAATGAGTGAATAAAATGAATGAGCGTTCTGCAGCTCTGCCAGAGAAGCCCTCAGGGTCGCTTCTCTCCCTTCGGAGCATCTTAGCTCAGGCATCAGGGAAGCTGCCATCTGGAGGGGGGCAGGCACTGGGCAGGGTGGGGGGCGGGGAGAGTGTTCTTGGAAGAAGGAACAGCATGTGCGGAGGCCTTAGGAGGGAGCTCAGTTGGGGGAGTTGGGGCAGCTGGGGACTTTGGGTGGGCGTGACAGACAGCCTGCTGGGTATGAGTGTGGTCCTGTAGTGGGGTCAGAGACCAGAGAGGGACTTTATTATGCGGAAGGGGCTACTGAAGGATTTTAGGCAGGAGACCAGCGCGGCTGGACTGAGTTTAGGTGGCGGCCTCTGGCTGCTTTGCGAAGGGACGCAGCCACAGCGGGATCCCAGCCCAGGGGACCCGGCCTGCGCTGGAGAGAGACGAAGGGCTGGGCGACGCCGCGGAAGACACCAGACGCGGGGCTGGATTCTACCATCAGGCGCTCTGCTTCGGGATTTTGTTTTCTGTTTTTTAATCATTGGAGATGATTTCAGATAAGGGGTGTAAGTGTGGCCAGCCCCTGGGGGCCCGGAGCAGAGGTCCCAGAGCCCCCGCGCCGGCCCCGCCCCCTGGGGACCCGCCGCCCTGATTGGCTGGTGTCAGCCCCGCCTTTCCAGGCGGCCGCCTCAGTCCCGCGTCCTGGCCGCGCTACGAACGGGTCTGGAGTTGGAGACGGACAGCGGCCCCTGCAAGGGAGAGTTGAGTGGTGTTGGCCAGTAACAGGCCGGCCCTCCTGCAGCCCTTCGGTGCCAGCTGTACCCTACCCTCCTCCAGTCGCCCGTCCAACCGTCAAGATGCCATGAGACAGTAGTGTCATTGCGTCCTTTCTGCCTGGGGGAGACTGAGGCCCCGCACCCCCCCCCCCCCACGGCAAGGGCGTTCAGTGGTGGAGCCAGGGCGGATGCCGGGCAGGACTCACATAGGACGTGGGGTGCTTGGTTGGGAAGGTGGGGGAGTGACCCACCCTGCCCTGCTGCCTCCAGAGCCCGCCCTGTTCTCAGCAAGCAGGGGTGGCCTGTGCCTTCAAGGCGGCCGAGGCAACCAGCGCAGTGCCCACTGGGCCAATCAACTATCTGAGACCCACACCATCAGGGCAGCACTGAGGAGTGGGCACAGTTCCCTGGGTTGTGGAGGCCTTGGCGGAGTGTGTGCTCAGAGCTTCCCTAGAGCAGGACTCGGCATGCCGGGAAGGCGCCCTCTTGGCCTTCCTGGTACCGAGTGCCCAGGAGCCCCGCACACTAGCGGCTGAGCTGGACTCTCCTGGGCTCTGCTCCAGGCCCAGGAAACTTCCCCTAAACTCCACCTGCACTCCCAGCAGGACAGCCACGGCTCCAAGCCCCACTTTCCTGCCTCATCAGGAGCTGAGTGGGGCGGTGGCGTGGTCATCACCCCCTCTCTCCCACACCATCTCAGGCCAGGGGCCCACTTGGCAGCTGGCCGGGAGCCCACGCAACACAGCGAACACCCGCAGCAGATGGCAAGGGGGGTGGGGGAGTCGTGTTCTGATTCACGCGCTGGGGTGGGGAGGGGCTGTGCGTGATGGGGAGCCCACCTCCTGCCTGGAACACGTGGCCACCCCCCAGCTGGCATGCGTCCTGAGGGGGCAGTGGATCAGCATTAGTGTAAATAGCCAGTGTCCCCCCTGTCCTGACACCCAGCTAGAGAGGCATTGGCTCCAGTGGCACCAGGCAATGCAGAAGCACTCCTGCTTCCGTGTCCCCAGCCGTGCAAAGGGGTCCTGAGAGTGCCACCTTCGGTGAAAGCGTGAAGATTTATGAACCGCATGGGAAGTGTCAGGCCTGGCCCGGCCTACGGTCTCCTGGGTGCGCACTCTTTCCAAGTGTGGCACGGAGGCTGGCGGGGAACTGGGAGCAGATCAGAGGGTCAGAGCCGGGGGCGGGGGTCCCTGCCATGGCCTTCTCAGCTCTGAGGAGGAGCACCCCTGTGAACTCGTCACCACGGCCAAGCCGGACATACTGAGAGGCCCACCTGCCCACCCCCACTTCCCCCCAGCCCAGGGACCACGAGGGCATTTGGAAGGGTGGGCAGCTGTGACCTCTAAGATGGGCTGTGGCGGAGGATAAAGGTGGCTGGGGTCTCCCTGCCCCACTGCTTCATGGGGTCTCCTGGACCTTTTCAGAGGCTGGAACAGGGAGGTCAAGCCTCAGTCCCTCCCCCCACCACCAGATGGAGCGGGGCTGAATTTGCACTGGTACAGACCCCAAGGCCACCTCACCTTTCCCACAGGAACCTCTCAGCAGAACTTGGGGACAGACAGGACAGAGCAGTGGCAGGACAAGTGTCCAGAACAGCCAGGTGACAAATGATGCCTAGTGAAGATAGCGGAGTGGGGCTGCCAGGGGACTCCTCTGCTGCCTGCTCCCGAAGTGACAGTGGGTGACTCTTCCCGGTTTCCCTGCCCACAAAATGGAGACACTGATGGTACCTTCATCACAGACGTGTTACATGGATCAGTGGGTGACTGTTGGCGAGAGGCCTGTTGGGCCTGAGCCAGAGAGACAGCACCGTCCCACCTGGCCCAAGCCGCACACCATGCCCCAGCACCCACTCTGGCCAGGCTCTGGGTGGGACCCTCCCAGGTGGGAGGGTCCCACCCTGCAAGACCCCCCACACACAGGCCATCACTCACCCTGCACAGCCTGCAGCGGGTGTTCGATGGCCCCATCCTGCAGACAGGAGCAGTGATCCCAGGTAGTCGGCCGCCTGCTCCTGCTCTCTGGGCACAGTGCCAGGGAGCTGGTCCCTCCAGTTCCTTGACATGAGGCCACCCCAGCATTCACGGGGTCAGCTCCCATATCCCCCAGCACTTTGAAACATGGGACACACTTATCCTCCTGCCACGTGGCTAAAAACAGGGACATGCCTGTCACCCAGTAAATGACCAGCAAGGCTGGGGCTGGGCTGATGAGGCTGAGAGGGTCATCTCTGCTTGTCCCAAGCTCCAGAGGCAGCCCCTGGCAGCTCGGGGCACTCACGAGATGGCAGGTCCTGGGCTTTCTGTGTCGCTGTGTCTCTAGCACCCTAAATGGGGGCCCAGTATGTAGCAGGTGCTCAGTGAGTGAACTGTGAGGATTTGATGAACTCAAGTCTGGGTCCCAGGCCTGGGGACAGGGCCATGACCAGGCAGAGCGGGAACTGCCCAGGAGCATGGAGGAGACAGGAAACCCCTGGGAGGGCGGATGTTCAGTTTGCTCCTAGAAGCTGTTAGGAATTACTAATCTCTGACTGATTTCCTGTGACGTGTCTGCCAGAGACTGTCCCCCAAGAGTCTGAACGCGCAGCCTTACCCATCTCCCTCCACCAGGAGAGGGCAAGGAGAGCTCCTTGCTCCCTGCCCCAGTTCTCCTTCCGGCCGGGACCTTATGGCAGGACAGGAGGGGCTCTGAGCACTCGGTCCCCATCCTGGGCTGGGTGATGTGAGTTCCCCACCCCGAACACCGTGTCCCAGACAGTAATCGCAACAGCAGGCTGCCTGTTGGCATTGGCCCTCAGTGCCCCACAGCCCTGCCAACTGGGTGCCATTGTCTCGGGAGAAAGTAAGTTCAGAGAGCTCGGGGTTTCCTAGGGCCACGGGGCAGGCTGCCTCCAAGCTGGACTTGAGTCCGGGGCCATCAAACTCCAGTCTGGGATCTTCTGCCTGCAAAGGCTGTGCCCCAGAGTCCTGTTCCAGAAGACCCTGGCTTATGCCTCTGGGTCTGCCTTGATGGCAGTGCCACGTGCAGAGAGCCAACACCCCTGGGGGCAGTGGACACGGCCCAGCAGGCCGACCCCGACTGGTGCCTGGGTTTGAGCAGTGAGTAGAGGGGGCCCGGCCCCAGCACCTCCCAGGCCTTGGCAGAGCTGTGCCAGCCCCCGTGGCTCTAGTGACAGGCCACCCAGGCCTTGTTAGCTAGAAGGCCGACAGGCCCGCAGAGGCTCGCCCGCTGGCTTCTCTAAGACAGTGGGCACCCAGGTGCCTGAGGCTTCCCCCTCCCTCCCGCGGCCTCACCTTCCCTCCTTCTCTCCCTCCGAGCAGCAGGAGCTCCCAGCCCACGTGAACCTCTCGGCCGCCCCGGCCCCCGCCCCCGTGGTGCCCACCGCCCTGAACTCCAAGATGGACGAGCTGGAGGGGCAGCTGCTGGCCAAGGTGCTGGCGCTGGAGAAGGAACGCGTGGCCCTCAGTCACAGCAGCCACCGGCAGCGGCAGGAGGTGGAGAAGGAGCTGGACGCCCTGCAGGACCGCGTGGCTGAGCTGGAGCACGGTGGGTCCTGGGCCCCGCGAGGCCCCGAGGTGCCAGGTCCACCCTGAGCTCGTGCTTTCCAGAGGCTAAAGCTGGATGGGATGGTGGGGAGGAGGCTGGGAGTACAGAATAAGTGGGGGACAGTATCATCAGACCTAAGTTATCATTGACAGTTACCACTTCCTGGTACTACTGAACCCGAGGAGTGGGCTAAGCGCACGACAGGTCAGCTGTCAGTCCTCACAAACTGCACAGGGATTTTCACAGGCGAGGAAATTGAGGTTCAGAGGTCAAGTGACTTGCCCAAGGTCACACAGCCAAAAAGTGGAGGACTGAGACCTCTGTCCAGTTCTGTTCGACTCCACAGTCATGCATTTAAACACCCACAAATAACACCTGCAGCAACTACCAGTCAGGGTTTTGTCATTTGCTTAACACCCAGGCCTGGCCCTGCTGGGGAGGCAGAGCAGCATAATAGATGGTGTCAGGTGTGGGCATCAGGAGGGCTCGCTCCAGGCCCCACATCTGTCACTGGCTTGCTCTGTGACCTGGGAAGGTCACTTCTTTCCCCAGGCCTGTTTTTCTCATCCAAGAAATGGGGGTTTAGGACTCCTGAGATCTCATGGGCCTTTTAGCCTTGAAACCTTGTGGAAACAAGTTGGGGAGCAGGAGAAACCATTGGCTGAAGGAACTGAGGCCCAGAGAGGCCAAGTTGAACTTGTTGATGGTCTCACAGCCTGGAAATGGCAGAGGGAGGATTTGAACTCAGGACATCTAGGTCCAGACTGGGGGCGGGGGCGGGGGGGGGCTTTCATCACGTATATCGCTTAGCCAGAGGCAGAGTAGAGAAGACTGGGTGGCAACGACCCACTCGACGCCTGTGGGTGGCCGGGCGCCGCTAGCCCTCTTTCTGGAGCGCCTGTGCACCCAGCCCTTGCTGGCTGCTCTGACCCCGCCATGCCACCCCCCAGGGTCCTCGGCCTACAGCCCCCCGGACGCCTTCAAGATCAGCATCCCCATCCGCAACAACTACATGTACGGGCGGGTGCGCAAGGCGCTGCCCGAGCTCTACGCGTTCACCGCCTGCATGTGGCTGCGGTCCAAGTCGGGCGGCACCGGCCAGGGCACCCCCTTCTCCTACTCGGTGCCTGGGCAGGCCAATGAGATCGTGCTGCTGGAGGCTGGCCACGAGCCCATGGAGCTGCTGATCAACGACAAGGTAGGCAGGAGGGGCCCTGCAGCGCCGCCTTGCGACGGGTCAGTGCTGGAGCTCTGCTGGGCCGATTCAGCACACATTAAATGCCTCCTGTGTGCCAGGCGGGTGCTGAGAAGGCAAAGGCAATCGAGAGGTGGGCTGGCCAGGCCGGGTCGCTCCCCGTTGTCTAGAGGAGCAGGGGAGGTCACAGACTCGCGGTGACTTCCCCAGTGGCCCAGCTCTGGGGGCGGGGTTGGAGGTGCCCGTGCCCAGGGCCTGCTCTGTTCTCCCAGAGAGAGAGAAAGAAGGAAGGGAGGCGCATGGACCGGCCTGGGGAGGTGGGGGAAGGCTGAGGACCTCCCCCTCTGCCAGTTCCTTTGCCCTCCACTCTGTGGGGGAGACATGGCTGGGGCCATTCTGGGACCCGAGTGCCGGGTGGAAGCAAGTGCATCGCGCCCACTGAGTGAGGTGGCCATTCGCCTACCTGGGCCTTGATTTCCCACCTGTGAGCAGGGAGGACAATAGTCCCTGCCACTCAGGTTGTCATAGGAAGCAAGTGGCTTAACCTCACATAGAGGGTCTGAGCAGAGCCTGGCATTTAGCACGCCTTGACAATGTGAGCTCCACTGTCACCCAAGGCGCAGCGCTAAAAAGCTCTATCCTGCTGCCACCCCAGCCTGCCCCACAGCCTGGGAGTCAGGTCCCTTCGTCGTCCCCATTCTGCAGGGAGAGCAGCGAGACTCAGAGGGGAAGCCAGGCTTCCTGGCCACACTGCTGGTGGAGGGCGAAGGTGTGATTTGGGGTTTTGGGCTCCAGAAGTCACCTCTTACCCCCTCCCGTGTTCTGCCTCCTCACACCCAGGCTCCCGTCCCCATGTCCCTTCCCCTGGCCTGGCTGGAAGACAGGGAAGGAGGAGTGATTGGAGGGGCAGGTGATGGAGGGGCAAGAAGAGGAACCTCTCATCACCCCTGTTCCCGCCAAAGTTCCTCCTCCTGCCTGACACACTGCTTTGGCCTTGCTGGTACAGTGATCCCTTAAGGTCCCCTGGAAATGCAGGCATCACATGTCACACCCACCTTTGACCAGCTCACAGCCACACAGAGTCAGGAGATGCCTCTCCTGGGTGTCCTGGGAGAAAAGGAAGGAGATGGGCCCAGGATACAGTGAATTTCTCTTGTGGCCCCAGAAGCTCAAAGACCAGCCAGGTGGCTGGGCTCCATCTAGACCCTGCCACCTTGCTCCTACCACCACCGGCCGGCTGCGGTCCCTGGCCCTGCCCAGGACAGCCCAGGAGTTCAGCACCCTGGACAAGGCACCAGGCCTCTCACTTTCCTGCTGGGCGGTGCGTGGTTTGCCTGGCACAGAGTGGCCAGATACCACTGACCTTCCAGGTGTCCTCTCTTCCCATCTCCCCCTTCCTCTGGCCTTCACAGCCACTGTGTCTCCCTGTGGCCTCTGTACTACTTTGGCAGTGTTGTCCCTGAAGTCCTGCCCTCCTGGGCAGGCACAGCTCACTTGAGGCCATGACCAGACCCATCTCCCCAGTGTCCAGAATCAGGCCTGGCACCAAGTAGGCCCCAGAGAGCGCATGGGATGAGGGAGCCCTTTAGGAGTGCCATGTCCACGTCCTGCAAGTGCCGTCACCTCACAGGCCAAGCCCAGCCCCTCAGCAGAGGCCCCAGAGCTCGGTGATGAGTCTGAGGCTCGTGGTGAACTAACCGTGCTTCCTGGCTGGAGGGAAAGACAGGGCTGCTGTTTGCCCTCCTTGGCCACTTCGCTTTACAGACAAGGAAACTGAGGTCCAAGGCGGGAAGAACAGCCTCCCTGCTCACGCAGGGGGTTGGTGGCAGAGCTAGAGCCAGATACTGGCACCTGGCCTCGGATCCATGGCCTCTTTTTTGCTGCCAGTGCCCCGGCCCCGGCTGTGTGTGGACATGGGGTGCTGCATGCAGGGGGAGCGGGCCATGGGACACTGCCTCCACCCACATGACCTTGTGGGCCTAGAAGCAGTGGAAGACCCGAACTGACCTGAGGGAAGCTGCTTGGTTAGGCTGTGAGGGAAGGGAGAGGGGTCAGCGGAACCCTGGGACGGGAGGGAGGCAGGTTCAGGACTTGGGCCAGTCTCTGGGTCTCCCAGCCCCACCCCCCTGCTCCAGCTTTGGGCCTGTGGCTCCCCTGACCTGGGTCGGGGGACCTGTGTCCAGGTAGCCCAGCTGCCTCTGAGCCTGAAGGACAACAGCTGGCACCACATCTGCATCGCCTGGACCACAAGGGATGGCCTGTGGTCTGCCTACCAGGATGGGGAGCTGCGAGGCTCTGGGGAGAACCTGGCGGCCTGGCACCCCATCAAGCCCCATGGGATCCTCATCCTGGGCCAGGAGCAGGTAAGGGTTGGACTGGTGTCAGGCTGGAGGCCCAAGAGCCTGCCCAGGGGCCCTGAGGGGAGAGGCAGGCATAGGGGACCTGAGAACACAGCAGTGACCATTCAGGCAGCTCTCCCATTCTACAAATGGGCAGACTGAGGGCCAGAGACAGTAGGGACTGGCCAAAGGGACTGGGACCTTAGGGAGGACTAGAACCTCAAGATGGAGCTATGTCCTTGGAGGGGGGGCTAGAACCTTGGAGGTGGAGGTAGAGCTTGGAGGTAAAGGGAGAACCTGGGGTTGGGGCTGGAATCTGGATGTGGGGCTGGAACCTTGAAGATGGTGCTAGAACCTTAGGGATGGAGCTAGAACCTTGTAAGTGGAGCTAGATCTGGAGGCGGGGCTAGGACCTTAGAGTGGAGCTTGGATGGAAGCAGAGCTAGGACCCTGGAGGCGGGGCTAGGACCTAGAGGTGGGGCTAGTACCTGGAGGCGGGGCTAGGACCTGGAGGCGGGGCTAGGACCTAGAGGTGGGGCTAGTACCTGGAGGCGGGGCTAGAACCTGGAGGCGGGGCTAGGACCTAGAGGTGGGGCTAGTACCTGGAGGCGGGGCTAGGGCCTGGAGGCGGGGCTAGGGCCTGGAGTCGGGGCTAGGACCTTGGGCAGGGCCTCCCGGGGAAGGGGCCTGGCTGCTGTCCTTTCTGCTCCCTCACGCCACACCTCTTTCTTCTCCCTGCTGCTCTCTTGGCCTAGGACACCCTCGGGGGCCGATTTGATGCCACCCAGGCCTTCGTTGGGGACATCACCCAGTTTAACCTGTGGGACCATGCCCTGACACCTGCCCAGGTCCTGGGCATTGCCAACTGTACTGGGCCACTGCTGGGCAACGTCCTCCCCTGGGAGGACAAGCTGGTTGAGGCCTTCGGGGGTGCAACGAAGTCCTCCTTCGACGTGTGCAAGGGGCGAGCCAAGGCATAAGGGGCCACCTCGCCTGCCACCTGGGGGACCCTGGGGCGGTACTTCCCTCCTCAGCCTGCCCACACTCTGGCCTCCTTCCTGCCCCTCCTGGCCATGTCTCCCATCCCTCTCACCTGTACACACACCTCCAGAATCCCTGCCCTTCGATGGGTCCCCTTGGCCTCCTGGTTGGGCACAAGCATCTCAAGTCAACAGGCCAAGCCCGGGGACTCCAGGCCCCGCCCACCCTCCTGGCGTTACGAGGGTGGCCTGGCCTGCCCGCCCTCTCCCATGGAACACACGGATTCCACCCACCTCAGCAGCATCCCCTCGGGGTCGTGTATGGCGGTGGCCTTCAGTACCTTTGTCCCCCAGGCTGCAGGTGGCCCCTTTCTCTCGGGGCCGCAGCAGGAGGCGGAAGGGGCTGCCGCAGGCATTGGAGAGCAGACTGCCTCTCCCTCCTCTCCCGCTGCCCATGGAGGGCGGGGTCTGGACGAGCCGCCAGCCCTTACCCCTCCTCCCTCCTGTGTGTGTGCAGTGGTGTGAATGTCGGTCCCACGCCCAGGCTCACCCACCTCAGTTTCCAGGACATTCCCTGCCCAGCCCCACCTGCAGAGCTGGGGTCCCATGGACCAGAGGCCACAGGACTATGGTCACTTCTTGTGCCCAGGGCTTGGGCCACTTTCTCTGGTCTGGGAGCAGCTTAAAGCAGAAGTGTCATGGCCCAGGACACTCCTTCTGCATGGCCCTGGGGAGGGAGGAAGATGCTGAGAGGGCCCCACCTGCTCTGTGGTCTTCTATAAGTGCCTGCCCTCTCTGGGCCTAGTTTTCTCTTTGTGAGTTGAGGCCGTTGGTTTGGCCATTTCCGAGAGCTCTCCAGATGGATAGTGAGATGACGCCCCCACCTGACCAGGTGGATAGTGCAGAGAAAACCTGAGAACCCAGGGGCTTGGTAGGGGCAGGTCCTGGGACTGGGCAGCAGATGGATCAGGCTGGGCATGTGTCTCCAAGGGTCAAGGTTCAGGGTAAGGTTCAAGACAAAACAGACTCACACATGGATCCTAAGTATCAGCTCCTTCTGGGTCCTGCCAGCCTGGCACCCTTGCCTAAGAGTGTCACAAAGACCTTGAGTCCTCACCAGCTCCCCCAAGAGAGTGGACGAATGTCAGAGCCGAGAAAAGCCATCCAGCCTCACCTCTTGCTGTGAGAAATGGGGAAGAACTCAGAGAGGGCAAGTATCTTGCACAAGATCACACAGCACAATGGGGCAGAGTCAGAACTAGAATCCAGAGCTTTTGACTTCCTCTTCAGTGCTCCTCCCTCCACACCACACTTTCTTTGGGTCCAGTCCACAACTGAGAGGGTGGACATTTGAGAGGGCAGGATGCTTTCTAGATGCCACTGGAACGTCTCCCTTCAGGCAACACCCAGACATCTTGGCACCCCAGGACAGGGAGCATGACCCCTGGGCACTGTGGCAGAAGGGACAGCTAGGGATGCACGTGTCCCTCCCAGGCATCCGAGCAATGGCACTGGTGCCTCTCACCCCACCTCTTGTTTCCTGCTCCGCTCCCCATGGCCGCTCAGCCTGAGCTGTGACGCAAGAGCCACAGGATGTGGGGCTCAGTACCCTGGAAGTGTGTCCATGTCCTGGACCTGTGGCCTCCGCCCCCAGGTCCTCGTTTCCATTTTGAGAGCACAGACGATTGCTCAGCACCTCGGTCCCAGGGCCCTGGAAGACGAGCACTCGGGCTTCAGCCAGGACCACTGAGATCTCGGTTGCCCCGGTAACAGCCAATGACATCAGCCCAAGTGCTGGGTCAAGTGTCTCATCGTGATGACACCGGCTGTTGCTGGGGCAATGGCAGGGTTAGGAACTTAGATGCTGGGGACGTGACCTTGTTGGGTTTCTGCTACTATTTTGAGACCTTAGAAAGGATCAGGCCTTGGGAGGGAGGTGACAGAAACTGCTTGGCCACTTGAGCCCACCCAGACACGTCATCCCCAGTCCTTTATGCTTTGTCACAGTGAGGACTCGACATTGACGCCTGAGCCTCGTTTCTATGCCAATCACCTTGGTCAGCCCCAAGAGGGAAGGGAACAAACTGGCGATGTTGGGGTGTGCCTCTGAGTGTGTCCCCACCCCTCCCTCATCTGTTCAGTCTTCTGCGGACCCAGGGCACCTGCTCTTGGGACAGTTGGGTAACTTGAGCTGCTCCTGGACATGTCCAAGAGACAGGGAGAGAGGGGCTGGGCTGGCCACCAAGGAGGATGGAGCTGGCCATGTTGGGCCTCTTTAGGCACCTGGCGCTCGCTGAGCCCTGCGCAGGCATCGGATCGTCCTCACAGCACAGTCACAGGTTAGGACTGCTCTTGGCCCCGCGTACAGGGAGGTCACTGGGGCTCAGAGGTGAAGCGCCCTGCCTGTGTCCATCAGCCTCCCAGGGGTGAAGTACAGATTTCTACCCAAAGGCCACACACAGGGCCAGCCTCAGCCCAGGGCCAGAGAACCCCAACGGCACAGACGAGCTCAGGTGCGCCGCTGCTGGTGTGGTTCCGCCTGAAGGGACGGCCCACCTGGCTCAGAGGGACAGGAAAGACAGGTGTTTCTGGAGGGACCGTCCCCAGGGCCAAGGTCCCTTTGGTGAGGCCGTGAGAAGGGTCCCTGCCCTGAGGGATCTTGTCCCGGGGACCAGGCAGGGAGGGGATGCATCTGCTCCTCTTCAGACTCCGCTGTGGGCCACGCCCTGGGCAGGTGCTCCACAGCTGCGCTCTGCCAGATTTGCCCACCTTGAGGCATGTGGCAGCACCCCTCCCAGAGTCCCAAGGGGGCGTCCGCCCTTGCCACAGTCATGCATGACCCGGGACCACAGAGGGGCACGGAAGTTCTCGGAGGAGGACGAAGCCCTCACTTTACAGATGAGGAAGCTGAGGCTGGGGAGGGCGAGTGACCCCCCAAAGCCACCCTGCTGAGACTGGGGCGCTGTGAGCCCTGCTTGCAGGCCGCGCCTCATTCTCTTCAGGACCCAGGCCCCTTTCCACAGCATCCTAGGTGTCCCAGACCCTGGCCTGAGGGGACTGGGGAGGGGCCCTGCCAGAGATGGGATCACTCTTCACCCCTATTTCAGATGCCTGCCACCCCGGACCCCACCCCGACACCCTGACCCTGGGAAGGGGCCCGTGTGGCCCAGGCTGAGCAGCCGGCAAGCATGTCACGTTGTCTATGAAGTCAGTGCCCCCACTGCCCGCCCTCCGCGGCTGCCCTCCGGGTCCCTCCTCCCTGTTTGTACACAGTGGCCTGCGATGCAACGTGTGCGCGTGTGTGACCTGTGTCATGGTTTTTGTTACTTTTTCGTTTTTGTAAATTTGAATGTTCAAAATAAACTTTCGGTTTACTCGAAGGCTCTTCTTTGGGGGTGGGGGGTGCTGTCCCCGGGGCACCCACCCTGGACTGTCCCAGAGCTTCCCCACCAGAGCCGCCCTGGACCTGGCTGGTTCTGCCAGCGGCGCTCAGTCACACCTCTGTTCCAGCGTTCATGCCGCAAGCTGTGGGAACCAGGTCCCTCATGGAAAGTGCCCCAGTTCTGAGAACTGGGCTTTGGCCTCGTTCCGAACACCCCTTCCCCACCATGTGCCCCAGTTCCAGGATCCGGGCCCCCGACTTGTTCCCTAGGATCCAGTCTGAGTCACCTGCTTGGACCCTTGGGGTCCTGGAGATGGAGTTGGGCAGGTGGAAGGACCCTGTCATATTCCAACCCCTCCCCCAAGGCAGCTGGACTCCTCTGGCACCTGCGGCCTGGAGCCTGGGCCCTGGGAGCAGCATTAGGGTCTGCTCCCAACCCCACCCTTCTACCACCCACCCCCAGTCCTGCGGGGTCTCCATCTTTCCCGGGACCTCCCTGCGCACACGGTCACGGGGGCATTTTACCAATGTGACCACTGTTTGGGGCTGGACTTTGTCTACAAATGACCCCTGTGAAGTCAGGGGCTAGGCAGGGTCACACGAGCAGAAGGGACTCCGCAGGCTGTCCCCAAAGCCTCCCAACCTTCCAGGAATTCCAAGAGTGAATTCCAGGTAGGGCTGGCTGGAAGTGGCCTGTCCAGCGGGAAGGCCCGAGGGAAGTCGGCTACGGTAGCTGAGAAGCCCACGTGCTGCGTTGACTCCAGGCCAGAGCCCCAGATTTGTTTTAGGACAAGGATGTTTTCAGTGACTTCCCACCAACGGGAAGACACACCTTGAAGGCCCAGCTGCACAGATGCGTCCTGTTTATCCTCTCCTGCAGGATTCACCTGCAGACGCCCCCTCTCCCTCTGTCCCCCAGGCTGGCTGCCCAGCCCGGTGCCATCCCACCTCCCCGTCTGCTTCCCAGCTCTGCGCAGCTGAGTCCTGTGTGGGGAGGCTCGGCTCTGGCACCCCCTGATTCCCATTGAACTTCAGGCCCAAGTTCCCCGGGGCCGCGTCACCCTGCCCCGCGACCTAAGCACTCTCTAAGGCTACGTTATACTGTCCCTGTCCTCGACTCTGCAACCCCGCATCCCAGCCCTGCGCCTCACATCAATTGTACCTCCTCGTTCCTGGAGGGGACAAGGCCATCGCGCGGTCCCTCCCTCCTCACGGCCTCCAGGTGCCCGTGAACCAGCGCGAGCCCACTCCTCAGCTTCCTCCTGTCACCCTGACCTGTCCCTGCTTCTCTCAGAGGCGCTGTGAGCTAGAGCCCTTCCCCTCGACCATCTCCAAAACGTGTCCCGCAAGTGACCAACTCATCCCCCACTGCTTTGTCACCCCAGCGGGCGCGCACTTCCCCCCAGTGTCTCCTCCCTTAAACAAAATCCCTGCTTTGGTTACTGGAGGGGCTTGGAGAGGGGCCTCACTCAGGATGACCGTGTCCTTGACGCGCCAGCTGCAGAAGACAGCAAGGCTCAGAAGAGCAACGCGGGAGGGCAGCACAGGCACCAGGAGAGGGACCGCATTTTCAGGGTCTCGGGTTGTTCTGTCAAAGAGGATTTGGTGGGGGTGGGGG